GCTGAGTGAACGTGGTCTGGACTCTGTGGAGGAGAGTCATGGTTTCAGAGACGCTGTAGAAGGACAGAATACCTGCTGTGTGATCCAGGTACACTCCAAGTCTGGAGGACTGAGGACCTGAGACGGGAGTTTGGCTGATGTTGTACCAAAATTTATAACTGTTTTGGTCACAATATAATGCCCAAGATTTGTCATTGCCTCCAAATCGACTTTCATTCCAGTCCCCTGTTCTGCTGATATCCTTGTATGCAACTGCTACTCCAACTCCTGTCCCTGTCCACTTCACCTCCCAGTAACAACGTCCAGTCAGACTCTCTCTACTCAGGACCTGCCACCAATCAGCGAATCTGTCTGGGTGACTAGGAAAAAACGATTGTACAATCATTACTGTTGCTTCTCTGTTTCCCTCAGTTAATAACAGACGTGTGTTTGCTGTGTTTGGATCCAGTGTGATTTTACGTGAACATCTTAAGAATCCATCTCTGGTCTTGGGCTCTGCTGGTGACATTAAAACATCCACTTCAGTCAGTGTCAGTGTGGTGACTAGAATCAGACCATCGTCGACTCGATAATGTTGCTTTTCTGTTTTCCTCAGTTAAACACAGACGTGTGTGTGCTGTGTTTCCATCCTGTGTGATTTTACGTGAACATCTTAAGAATCCATCTCTGGTCTTGGGCTCTGCTGGTGGCAGTAAAACATCCACTTCAGTTGATGTCAGTGAGACGTTTGTCCATCTCTCCCTCAGGACATCCTGTAGTTTGTCTCTGACCTCTGACACAGCTGCTGTCACATCCTCAAAGTATCTCAGAGGACGGATGTCGATGCTGGATGAGTGTGTAGACTGACTGAGTGCTGACACTGAGGGGTAGTTGAGTAGAAACTGGGTGGGATCCTCTGTGTGTGAGAGCTGCTCCAGACCAGCGTCTTTCCTCTTCAGCTCAGTGATCTCCTGCTCCAGCTTCTGCTGAAGCTCTTTGACTCGACTCACTTCAGTTTCCTGCTGGGATCTGATCTGCTGCTTCACATCAGAGCGTCTTTTCTCCAGGAGACGAATCAGCTCGGTGAAGATCTCCTCACTGTGCTCCACTGCTTTATCAGCAGAGCGACTGATGGCCTCCACCTCCTCCTGAAGCACCTTCACATCTTTCTCTCTGTCCTGGATTCTCTGCTGGATTTGTTGTCGACTCCCCTCGAGCTCTCTCTGCCTCTCAGTCCTTTCTGCTGCAGCTGAGACTGTGTCGTGGCCTTTATGTTCATCCACAGCACAGAGATAACAGATACACTGCTGATCAGTGCGGCAGAACACCTCCCTCACTTTAGTGTGACGAGAGCAGATGTTGTCCTGGAGCTTCTTGGAGGGCTCCACCAGCTTGTGTTTCTGTAA